GCTGAAAAGGCTCAGGCCTTTTTTGGCTAAAGCGATGCAGGGCCTAAGGGCTCTGGATGTCAGGCTTTTGGGGTGAACCGTCATGGGGTCTGCAGACCCTTATTTCCAGGCCTTGAGCCTGAAATTCAGGCTTCCAGCCTGAACGACACAGGGCTTGGAAAATGGCCCTCCTGTGCAGGCGCAACATGTAACACCCCCCCCTCCTTATGAAGTCAAGCCGGGTCGAGGGCGCAACCGACGATCTGAAGGTGGAACCAGGACACGGTTGCGGCGTGGAGGCGAAGATACCGGCTTGCCTTGCATCTTTCGTTCATACCGTATGAGAACATCTGGAGCTGTCGCTTGGAGTTTCGCACATGTCAACCAGTGGTCGGCTCGGTGAGTGCAATACGCAAAGTGTACCAGATACTCAGTCGGCTTGTTGCTGTAGCGTCGCTGGGAAATGATGTCACCGACCTCCTGAAAGCCGTCCATAGAGGGTGGGTCTTGCGATCGTCTCCCGGGAAAGTCATTCTGGTCTGCTGGTGTGTACAACGCCAACTTGGAGCAATGGAAAACCGGGTAGACGGGCAAGTGGGCGGGCACCTGAACTGTGAAGGAAGGTCCCTCAGGTGCATCCCCAACAGGGGCTACAATCGGCCATGGCCCTATCCATTTCGGGAGGAGCTTGCGAGAGATATCCTACTCAAGGCTGAATTCCGCGGTGGAAACCCACACGAGGTTGCCAGCGCGGAATGGACAAGGAAGACGCTGGCGATTGGCCTGCTGGCTCATGCGTTGCTGCGTCTTCGCCATTTGATTGCGTGCCTTGACAAGAAGCTCTTGCATCCGACGCAAGAAAAGGAGATGGTCGTCGCTCTCGGCCGTGCGTGGAACGATGGTGTCCAACGGAGAAGTGACCGGAGAGCCATGCTCAAACTCGAAAGGCGACATCCTAATAGCCGGGAGGATGGACGAGTTGTAGGACAATTCGACATCCGGCAGCCGCTCAACCCAATCCTTCTGATCGGGACGGATAAGAGTGCGAAGGAGAACCTGTGCCGTCTGGTGCGCTCTCTCCGTTTGGCCATCCGTCTGAGGGTGGCGAGCTGAACAAGGCTTGAGAGATGAGCCCCATCGTTTGGTGGGCAATGGTGTTGTTGACTGTGTCCTGGGTCTCGTAAAAGACCAACGGATTGTTGTCCGTTACCCATCGGAACTGCCGTCTACCAAGAAGGAAATGCCACCAGTGCTTGAGTGCGTGTACGAAGGCCAATAATTCCTTCTTCCTCGCGTCATCAATAGAGTGCACGGCGGGCACCTTCTTGCTGAAATACTCGACCGGGTGCCAGTCCACGCCATCGTGTTGCTCGAGGACAGCGCCAATACCATAGTCGGACGCATCAGTAGTGACGCGTGTGGGCAATAGTGGGTCGTAGATTTGCAAGACCTCCGCTGCAGCTTTGAGAGCCAAGAAAGATTCCCGCGCATCCTCGTCGAAGTCAAACGGTCGATCCTCGCATTGAAGCTTGGTCAAGTGGGCCGCGATCTTCGAATAAACCTTGATGAAGCGCTGATAGTAGCTGGCAAGACCAAGAAACGAGCGGACATCCGTGACGTTACGTGGCTCCGGCCACTCCTGGATGGCTTGAATTTTCTCCGATAGCGGGTTGATGCCCTCTGGTGTGACAAAATGGCCCAAGTACTCAAGCTCTTGCCGGACAAACTCGCACTTGTCGCGGTTGGCTTGGTACTTGGCACGGCGGAGCGTCTCCAACACAAGTCGAAGATGCTCAAGATGGTCCTACAGAGTCCGACTGTAGATGAGAATGTTGTCTAGGTATACCAGTACGAACCGATCCAACATAGCACGAAACTCGTGGGTCATGGCCGCCTGGAAGGTTGCCGGGGCATTGGTGAGGCCAAAAGGCATGACCACCCACTCAAAATGCCCATACCGCGGTCTTATAGCAATCATTCGGGCGTATCGAAATCTGATGATACCCCGACTTCAAGTCCAACTTGGAAAAGAACTTAGCACCGCCTAGTCGCTCAAGAAGATCATCGATACGAGGAAGAGGCCCCGCATTTTTCACAGTTTGCGCGTTGAGCTTGCGGTAGTCGATGCACAGACGTAGATCCTTGTTCTTCTTCCTTACAAAGAGAACTAGTGCTCCATATGGGGAGCTGCTAGGGCGGATCCAGCCCTTGGCCAACAAGTCGTCGAGTTGTGCGCGAAGGACCTCCAATTCCTCCTCGCTCATCCGATAGATGCAACGTTTCGGCGGCACGGCACCGTCCTCAAGAATGATCTCGTGAGAGATCGGCCGATCCGGCACCACACCGGTAGGTGACTCGAAGATGTCGGCGAACTCATCAAGCAGCCGTACCACGCGGGGGTCCGAAGACAAGTCCGATGGTGAAGAGTCGGCTACCGCGCTAGTCCGCAAGAAACATAGGCCTATCTCTTCGGGTTGCTCATATGCACATGTAGTTCGGAACGATTTGGCCGTCATGACTTGGCACCGGATCGAGGGGTGCGGAAGAGGAATAGTACACGGCACCTCGGCGCCGAAGGCGTCGCGAACGGTGAGAGTCCGCTGGTGAAAGTTGACCGTGTGATCCGCACTTGCAAGCCAAGGCATTCCCAGAATGATATCGAAGTCCGTATCCAAGATGTCAAATGTGACCGGTTCGCATGCATGAGGTGCGAAGTACACCGGTACGGCCTCGATGTAACGGTCGAGAAGTTGCTGCGTCTTTCCATCTGCCAACTTGATCGCCGTCGGGTTTGCCTTCCTCCGAACCTGCGCGCCGAGGCCAGCCCTTTGCATAAAAGTTTGGCTCATGAAGTTGCGAGTCGCGCCGCTATCCAGCAAAGCGCTGCAGGATGCCTGCCCAACTTGGATGCGGACATACATCAGCGGTGCATTATTGTCGTCGTACCGCTGCGTGCGAAACTTGCGGGCCACCTTGGTAACATATGCCAAGATGTCCCCCACCGCGACCTCGTCATCTGTCGGCGAAGTTGGTGGTGCATAGAAGGACAAGTACTTGTGAAGATGGGCACAGAGTGCTGCGCATTGCGGTCCCGGTAAGCGGCCCGTGGTCGGGAGAGGAAGCCATGCAAAATCCCCAGACTTGAGCGGGTCCAATTCCTCTATGTTGAACCCGCGCGCCGAATCCTGTGAAGAACCACTTGAAGACGAAGAAGAACCGTTGTCGGACGGAGAAGATGCCGCACACACGTCTTGTCCTTGAGCAAAAGATCCCAGCGTCGGAACGGGCCGGGCAGCATAGTCCTCAAAAGAATAGAGAAGAGGACTGTCGACTTCCGCATGCGCCCTGGAATGAAGGTCGGACACTCGCGAAGAAACCGGTTCCGAAGGCGCCGAGAGTGTCGTCGACTCACTCTCGGCGGCGCTCAGTTTCCCTGCTTGCCCTTCCCCTTGGTAGGGCAGCCCGGTATCTCGTGGCAGTCACTGTTGCACCACAGGCAGTAATGGTACTTCGTGCGTTGCTTGTAAGCTTGCTCCGAAAGACCGTAGGGGGTCCAGGGCCCCTGAGCTGCTGCGCCGGGCCCGGGGTTTGATGTGGTGTTTGTCTTCGATTTGCCGCGTCCTCGGCCTCGGCCGGGGCGGCGACCATCCCGGGCAGCTGCGAGTCTGTCTCCTTCATTGGCAGACTCCGCCTCGCTAGATTGGCTGCTTGGCGATGCCGCCGCAACCACGGCCACCTTGGGCCGATGCTGGTCCTTGCTCGGGCCTGCCGCAGCACGAGTGAGGTTCTTCGCCTCCTTGTTCGTGATGATAATCTGTGCGGCCTTGTTGAACAGTTGCGCCGTCGTTGTCAGTGTGTCCTCGACATGCGTCAAGGCGTTGCTCAACGCCGGGCACGACCTCGAAATGAAGTAGTGCTTGATGGCTTTGAAGCCCATCGGGAGACCTGGGACGGATGTCAAGCGTTGGTACTCGGCAATCCAGTCGACGCTTGGCAGCGAGCCTTGCTCGAAGGTCACGAGCTTGTCCATGGCCTTGATCTCCGGCGACTCCACTTGGAACCGCTTGTGCCACGCCGCCTTGAGGTCTTCCCAGCTGATCTTCGTGTGTAACTCGGCAGCGACCACCCCGTACTGGGACAAGAGATTGTCCAACCATGCCTGGCATGCGCCTCCCGACCGGGAGTATAAGTATGCGTGGTGCTTGCATTCGCTGACGAGGTGCAGCTGCAACGTGAGTTCAAACTTGCGGAACCACTGAACTGGATCCGTCTTTGTTGAATCGCTGAAGATCTCCTGACCGTCGAACTTGGGAGTTGACTCGCGCTGTCCTGAACTCGGGCTGGCGGCGGCAGCACAGACCCGCTGCTCCAATTGTTGAGTAGCGGTTTGTTGTAGTCGTGCGCCATCCTTGAGTGTGCTGACGTCAGTGTCCAATGCGTCCAGGCGGTCTGATGTGTTGGAGGAGCTTGCCACAGGGGCTGCGGCTGGTCGTTACTCCAGCTGCTGTACGCGGCTGCGAACACTCTTGACTTCGGCATCGAGGTTGTGAATGTCCTGCTGCTGCGCGATGCATGTCGCCAGGAGGTCCGTGAGATGGGAGAGGAGGAGGGCAATCTTGGTCTCGCTCTTCTCCATCTTCCCTGTCTCTGCCTCAGTTCGCCATTCCGCTGCCAATGTGAGTAATGCTTGCTCCCCGCTGAAAATCTTCTCACGCCGCTTCAATCGTTCTTCATCTGCAGCCTTCGCTGCTGCCTCGGCCTGCAGACGCTGCTTTTCAAGAGCTAGCAGTCGTGCCTGCTCGGCATCCTCCGCCTTCTTCTTCTCTGCGGCAGCTACTGCATCCGCCCGCTGCTTGGCTTCTATGATCAAAGCCAGCATGCGGTCCTGATATGCCTCCGCCCTTTCCCCCGGTTTCTGGTCCATGACGGCTGTCTGCGAGCGCGTCAGCATAAACAGGCCCGGGTGGCTGACGTGGCACTCCCAGTTGACGTGGCCTGCTGATGTGGTCTGCTGATGTGGTCTGCTGACGTGGTCTGCTAATGTGGTCTGCTGACGTGGCCCGCTGACGTGGCAACTTACCAATGCCACCATAGGGAATACCCGGAATGCATGAAGAAGATGAGATCAGAGATGGCAAACAACGTAGATAGGGAGGGTGGGTGGGGTAGATCGCCCAGATAAGGAGCCGCTAATCAAAACAAAAAAGGTTGAACTTCGCAAAAAAAATCTGAGGGGACGAAGAGAGAAAAAAATAAATAAATAAATAAATAAATTGTTTGCAAGTTCAGCAAGCTCCCCCAATCCCCGAAATACGAAATACCACTGAAAAAAAAAATCAACTTCCGGACTGCAAATGATTACAAAAAAATTCGGATTTGCTTTAATGAGAGTATACGCAGCTTGGAAAGTAGTACTGCCAGAGAGATTTCCCGTACCGTTTTGAAAAAACAATGAACTTTGAAAAAAATATTCCGAATTTTTTCAAGTACGGGAAACTGCAAAATCGAGATTTTCAAAAAGAGATATTCTGGATTTCCAACAGCGAAATTTCGACAAAACAACAGAAATTTCAGGAGTTGTGCTACTGCGATTTTTCCTCAATCAGAAATAATGGAAAAACGAAATCCAGAAAAAAAGAAAAATTTTGATTTTTGGCAGTTGGGTCAAAATCGTGATTTTGGGGATTAACTAGTGTGCTCAACCAACCAATAAGTCAGTCGGGTCTTCTTCACCAGCTAACTCCCCGTACACGTGTCAGATCAGGTAGTCCTGATTCACGTGCGGTGCTCCGGTACCAACTGTTACATGCCCAATCGGGGACTGAGAGTTCAGCCAAGGATCCGCATTGTGATGAAAAGGACTGAATGGACAGTGGACTGCTAACGTAATATCAACAGATAGTGTACATCCCGAT